GTAATTTACTACTAAACATAAGAGTTTGCTATATATTTCTGATGCTGAAAAAGTTCATTTTTGCTGGATTTTCACTTTATTTGGTGACATTAGAAGTGGCCATGATTTGCTATGAAATAAGTATATGTGTGTGTATAAATATATATATATAAAGTATTACCTATGTATGTAGAATTAAAAGTTAACTTGTTACACCTCATTGGTCAATGTTTAACAGTTCTCCAGCTCTTGAGGTGGACCCTTTGTTCCCTTCCAGTGAAATAGGTTTTGTGTTGAGTTAGGATATTTGCAAATTATTATTTCTCAACTGAGACTTAATTGGGGTACAATAGTTGATTACTGGAGTTGTCTTTTAAAGCAGAAAACGGTTAAAATGTTAAAAAATAGTTTCCATAAAAGGTTAAAATGTTTTTAAAAATAGTTTCCATAAATATGATTAACAGTTACATGGGGGAAAATACAGTAAGGTCACTGATTGTATTTTATGACTCATCATGGTAACAGCTCACAGATGTCAGTAATTTACTACTAAACATAAGAGTTTGCTATATATTTCTGATGCTGAAAAAGTTCATTTTTGCTGGATTTTCACTTTATTTGGTGACATTAGAAGTGGCCATGATTTGCTATGAAATAAGTATATGTGTGTGTATAAATATATATATATAAAGTATTACCTATGTATGTAGAATTAAAAGTTAACTTGTTACACCTCATTGGTCAATGTTTAACAGTTCTCCAGCTCTTGAGGTGGACCCTTTGTTCCCTTCCAGTGAAATATGTGGATAAACTGATGCTGTGTCATTTTAATTTATATACAAAATATCTTCAAACTCACAATTTGTCTCTGTATTAAGGGCAAGGAAGATCACAGGTTGTGAGAAATCCTGTGTACCAGAAATAAATAACGTGGCAGAGGTGAATTAGAAGGAGCATATATACCCAAGACTCTTAGACCCTGAGAATTCACACCCTAAATTATTTCCTGAATATGGCTACAGTCACATTAGATTTAGAAAACTATTAGATCAAGATAATATTAGAGAGAATTAAAAAGCATTCTTTAGATTACCTAAACCAGTCAAGGTTATAGTAAGAACATGACAGTAATTTCTAAATTTTCAATTTCTTACTAAAGCCCCATTTCAAAAAGCTACATCAAACACTGCTTCATTCCCTTGTCTGTTATGACAGTTTTATATAACTTCATTTGAACAATATTGATACTGGGTTCTTGAACACTGAATATTGGGTTGGATAGTGGGTTTCTGATACTGAAGTCTTAAAACTGTCCAGAACAATGGGATGGACCCAATTTCTCCTTCCCACAAAGTGAACAATCTTTCTCTGCTAGTACAAGGCTCCTGAGGTAGCAGAAAGGAGTCATTGGTTGTATTCAGCCATCATTTTCTAGTGGTGGAAAGAAGGAGGGCAACTGGGAATGGCTGTGGTTTGGTGCCAGGGTATCTGCTTTACATGCAGAAGAATTTAGATTCAATCTGAAGTCAACAGAATCAGGTAGTATGAGGTGTGAAAGAACTCTATTTGATACCCTGGACAGATACTACCAGTCAAAGACAATGACCTTGTTAGACCAATGGTCTGATTCACTATGAGGCAGTTTCATACCTACTACATTTTTGCTCCGTTCCCAAGGTTCCCCTTAACATGGGCAGGGGGGAACACAATAGGTTATGTAAGTAGAAATCTGTTCATGGTTGGATATATCAAACTTTATTTGGGAGGAGAAATCACTTCATAAGAAGCTGCCCTCCATATCCTTCATCTTACAGTTTGCTGGGAACAATGACTTGGTTTGCTTTCACCACTCAAAATCCTTTTGTGTGTTCTGTAGAATGGGTACAATGTTTAGAGGTTTCCTGGGGATGTAATGATCATCTTAAAGCACCCTGAGATGAAAATAACTTTATGACAGAAAAACCCTGTTCACTGTAACAGGCAGCTGTCAAATATAACAATGTATTTTATAAAAATTTTGATTGTAGTACTCGCAAGTAGATATTTTCTATTTAACCATAGAACCATAGACTTGCTAAAACAAATGAAAACCTGAATTTGTGTCTTTGGAAGGCAACTTGGATATCAACATCACTTTCAAAGCAACTAAAATAATTAAGCTTGTGAACCCTGAATCTTTTGAGTTTATTCTCTTGGTCTGTGGACTAGGATCCAAGGCATATTTTATCTTCAAGGCAAATAAAATGCTGGATAAACTTTCCAAGGCTGTAAGCAAGCACTAATTGGTTTGTCTTAGACAGGCATAACAAAAATCACTTCTTTCTTTTCCCCTAGTAACTAATAATATATTCTGTTTTAAAAGAAGTGTCCTTCATTCTTGTTTCATGGCAGGTGAGCTGTTCCCTCTGTGTTTTCCTATCCTACTGCTTGGCCTAAACAGAAGATTACAAGATAGGGATGTTCATTTTATACGACAGAGAAGACTGTCCGCTGTTCCCTTCCCATGATGCTCTATGCTGCCCACCCCAGTCCTTTCATATCCTCTTTTCAGGAGCATCTTCCCTCCAGGAGTCCCTAAATCCTTTTGCTGTGTAGAGCATGAGCCCTCCCACCTTGAGATATGAACACCTATCCCCTTTCCCACGTGAGTCTTCTCTTCCCTGCATCTCACAGCACTGAGAAGAGCTTAATAAACAAGATGCAGTTTATGATACAAACCTTATTTTCTTATTTATATCTGACACATAAAAATAAGGTTTTGCTTCCTGCCTGAAATGACTGGTGAAATGGGCGGTGGTGACAACAGTTCATGCACTGAGTACTGCATTAAGAGATGCTGGAAAGGAGGCAGAGGCCTACACGATCAGCAGCATAGGTGCTGGAACTGTAAAGGTTAAGAAGGGAAAGGAAGAAGTGGCAGCCAGCAGCTGCAGAGTGCAACAGCAGGTGCAGAGCTGGTTACGTCAAAGTGGACTAGAACCAGTGCCTACCATTCCCCAGTCCAAGCCTAGAAGAAAAGCAAGGAATATTCCATATGGCATTACATCTCCGATAGCATCTCCAAAGTGAACTGCAACACAAATGATCCTGCCTTTCCCCTGAGGCTGGCTTTGGAAGAGGGACTGTGTTTTTAAAGCATTTGTCTGTGAAGTTCAGCATAGGGTCAGATAAAATACAACCAGGGCCAGATTGTGGTGACCACCATGAAAAGCAACCACAAAAGCTAGCTGAAACTTGAGGATTCCTGCTTCCTGCCAAGGAGTTGAATGACCTGGCTTCTTCATTTGTAATGCCCTATTTCTCTGGGAGGTTAAAGAAAAACAAGTTGATCAAATTCTATCTGAATTGAACAGTGTTAATAAAATCAGAAAGGTATAGTTTTTGTAATTTTAAGCTTCCCCCCTCCTTATTTACAGTCAGCTCAAACACTATAAGTAATGGACAAGAAATCAAACATGGCAGACTCCTCTCCTCATACAACCTGACACAGTTCCTCTAAAAATCAGCTTTATTTTCTTACCTCAGCAACCAAATAAATTTTGCCATGTGTATAAAACAGCTGTGAGGCAGCATAATAAACTAAGGTGTGACCCTCAGAGTATTCCCTGAAGGGAACTGAGCAGCCACCTGCATCATCTTAGCTACTTTTAATAATTGAACACACTATGAATATTAAATACACAGCACTAAGCTCCATGTTTTCTATTTTAATTAAGATTTTCTTATTTATATCTGACACATAAAAATAAGGTTTTGCTACAAAAACTGGATATAGCAAAGTAATCCTTTTCTACTACAATACTGGTTCTTTGGTATTCAAAGATATTCAGATGGAGCCATTGCCATGGAAAGCAGTTAACAAAGGTGCACACTTCCAGAGTCACTGGCTTTGCTTAAAGAGAAACACAGAAAAAATCCGAAGTCCAGATGACTGCTCAAGCATAGCAACACCCCCCCATATCAAATTGGGGACCCCACATAGCTGCACTTCCACTGTAAACATTACTGGTCGCCCACACATCTGCTTATATTAGAATACTTATATTTTATAGTAAGGTGTTCTCTGTAATCTCTTCAGAGCTTAATTATGAAATCATAAAAAATTCAGTATAGCCAACTGAATTCTGATCCTAATAAATGAGGGACCTCTAGGGAAATGGAATGATAAAATGTACCTGCAAGAAACCGTTACATTACAGAAATTCAGCATTACTTAATGGCAATCTCTCCAAAATGCATTCCCCTCCCCTTTGACTGGTAAAGCTTTAAATGCCTTTAGTGATATACAACATTCTTTACATAATTTTTGCAGCTCATGTTCATAGCTGCTACCTCATCAACCTCCTTTGCTGTAGGCAAGTTATTATTATTCCTTTAGTATTAATGGAAACCACAGCCAGTTGATTAACAGCTGCAGTGCACTTATGGGGGATTCCAGTATAGCCTCTGACTCGCCAATCCATTTAAATATCACAGAAAATACTATCCACTGATCCCTTTTGCATCCACCTGTGAGATAAAATTAAGCTGCTACTTGGTGACTAGCCCAAGATCCCCCACTGAATTTCATGGCTGAGTAGGCAACTGAATCGAAGTCTTAACGTTCCAAGTTAAATATTGTTCCCACTGGCTCTCATGGAGGTAGTAATGCAGACATGACAGAGATATTGTATGGATTCCTAAGATAATGTAGGTAAAGCAGTGAGGACACCCTAAAAGATAGGAAGATGATGGTGGTAATACGAGGTCCATTGTTCATCCACATCCGTAACGCAGTTAATTCTAGCTAACCAGCTCCAAACCCAACATTACCAATGAGAACATACCAGTTCAACATAGAATATACCAGTTCAACAGAAAAATAAGATAGTATGATGCGGGGGGGGGAGGATCTGGGGATATTTTTTTTTCCAGGAGACCCAAAACTTTTTAAAAAACTTTTTAAAAATCAGGACATTTAAATTAAGCATGAAAATATAGTGTAAAACTCTTCCTAAAAACTGTTTTTGAATACAGGAACCATGGTGAGTAAGGACCCCAGCAAATGCTTGCTTACAGCCTCTGAAAGCGAAGTTGATTCAGCGACATCGCTTGCCTTAGAGATGAGATATGCACTGGATTCCAATCGGCAGATCAAGAAAAGGAACAAAGCCCTACAGGTGAGATTCAAAGACATCTGTGAGGCCCAAAACGAGCAGCGGGACAAACAGCTTTCTACATTACAGCAGACAGACAAAAAGGAAGCAAAGCCCATCACTTACAGAGCAGCTTACCGGAAATATATGACAGTGCCTGCCCGGAGATCAATCCCTAATGTTACTAAGAGTACAGGAGTTCAGACTTCACCTGAACTTAAAAAGTGTTACCAGACATTCCCTTTGGACCGGAAAAAGGGGAATATAATCAAAAGCATAGCTTCTGTTGACACTTTTCCCAGTCAAAACAATGGATTCCTAATAGATGTTAAAGATAAAGACAGCAGAATCTCAGGGGAGGCTGCTCAGTGTAGCAAGAAAGTCACTGGATTTGTGACAGCGGAGTTTATTTCCCATACTAATGAACGGATGAATGCAATAGAGCAGCCTTCTAGTGACAACTGTTCAGAGACATGTAGAAGCACTGATTTGCACAGCTGTACTAAAGAACCTCCTTCTCTTCAAAACTCAGCAGCTTCTGTTTCAGAAGAGCCTGATTACCAGCTGCATGACAAAGCAAAACACCACACAGGGCCGTTGGGGAATGAGGAAGCTCATCCAGCTACCCATGGAAAAGTGTTCAAGACCGAAGTAGCTTCTGTCTACTTGCCTGAATCCAGTTCACACACCTCACAGACTGACCTGCAAAATTCTGCAGCAGGGAATGAATGGTCTCTGTGCCCAGCTGAGGAGGACAAAAAAAGAACAGTGCATCTTAATGGCCTGCAATCACAAGCCGTAAGTGCAGCTCAGGCCTGTTCGACGCAGGCACAGTGCCAGCCGACCGAATGTAATGAACAGACCCTTCAGATACATGTTTCGCCTATGGAAGGAAATCAGCCTTGTCAGACAGCAGTCGCTGTGAGTGAAGGATGTCAACAAATCGTGCCTCACACAGAAGTGGTAGACTTGAAAGCACAGCTACAGATGATGGAGAACTTGATCAGCTCAAGTCAGGAAACCATAAAGGTCTTGTTGGGTGTTATTCAAGAACTGGAAAAAGGAGAAGCTCATAGAGAAGGGTAAGCTGCTTTTACAATCTTCCTTAATATGCACAATCATCTCATTTGCTAAAATTGTTTACAGTCGAACAGAATTCTACTTAGCATTTTACAGTTTCAATTATATTTTTATGCATACCCAGATTTTTTTTTACTCCAAACATGTTAGAACTGCTACGAAAGTAGATGTAACTGCATGTGTATTATCTTGTTGCATTACTTTATTTTCATGAAATAGTTATACCTGATTCACTGTACCTGCAATACATAATTCACTGTCTAGCTTGACACTAATATACGAATGCTGCAAAATGACCTTCAGTCTATTTCATTTGTTTCTACTGCATATAAAACACTTTATGTTTTAGTACAATTGTATTTCTAAATTAGCATGCCTTTGATACCAACATAATTTCTTCCAGAAGGTATCGTTTAGCAGATTTAGTACTATAGGCAACAGGAAAGCATTCAACAAAATCAGAAATTGTCCTAAATATACAGCAGTTTTATTTGACAGAACTGGAATGCCTACAGAGTATTTTAAACATGCATTAATGTATTCCTTCTCTTGTTTCACAATTTACTATAAAAGTGTTACTCAGATCTATTTGTATAAGCATAGTTATTTATTCAGACTCAGCTAATTAAGTCTTTATCTGATAATTGTAACTTTTGTGCTTTTGGCATCTCATATGCATTCTCTTCCTTCACCCTTTAAAGATGTATTGTCTTTATCTGCTAGTTAATTCAACGGTTGCATTCTGGCAGACACACTTTTCAAATTAATGATTGTACATTTCAAACACCTCCATACTTCCTAAATGCTTTGCACAACCCTAGTTTCTCCCATTCTGGAAAACATTGTTCCATTTATTCTTTATAATTACCTAAAATTAGCAATATTTACTTAGGTTGCTTGAGGCTCCTGATGCTGCTCTCCCTAAATAAGCAAATAAATAGGAAATACAGTAAGCATTAGATCAGTTTACAGCACAGAAGCAAGGTGTTCTCTTGAATAAATGTGTCAACATTTTATCAAGATGGGCAGCTGTGTTTGTCTGTAGCAGTAGGAAAGAGCAAGAGTCAAGTAGCACAACAATTGTGGCAGGGTATGAGCTTTCATGAGTCACTGCTCACTTCTTCAGATACACCTAGAATGTGAGTCCGTCTATCCTTTTATCTTGGAGAGTGGAGTGATTTCAGATGCCGAATGACAATAGCAGGCAAATGACAATAGCAGGCGTGATATACAGACAGCCTGCTAACCTAAAATAACTTCTCATCTGCAATGATAAATTACTTAATAGTAACTCTGGTACCAAGGCCTGCAACAAACCAATATGCCAACTTTGCTGTCATGTCCTAGCAACACCTTCAGATCCTAGCTACACCATCAGTGGACCCAGCAACATCAGACATACTATCTCAGGTGCTTCATACTCCTGCTCATCCTGTAACGTGATTTATGCCATCACATGTCAGCAATGTCCTTCCACCCTCTACATTAGACACACAGGCCAGGCTCTACGACAAACTGGGTGTAAGTCTAGATTCAGGTGGCTAGCCGTGTTGGCATGAAGCAGCAGAACAAAGTTTGAGTCCAGTGGCACCTTTAAGACCAACAAAGTTTTATTCTGAGCATAAGCTTTTGTGTGCATGCACACTTCTTCAGATACAGTGAAATCATATCTGAAGGTGCCACTGGACTCAATTTTTGTTCTGGACATAAGTCTGACATTAGAGACCAGAACACTCAAAAACCAATGGGGGAACATTTTTACCTTCCAGGACATTCAGTTGCTGACCTAAGAGTAGCAGTTCTCTTACAAAGGAATTTCAAAGGGAAACTGCTGAATTGCAACTGGTAATGAAGCTCAAAATATTGCATCCTCCTGGACTGAATCGAGACCTAGGTTTCCTGTCTCATTACAAAACACACCTACTACCCCTTTGCCTATCACGCCTGCTGTTGTCATTCACCTGATATTGTCATTTGCCTGCTATTGCCATTCAGCATCAGAAAACATTCCACCCTCCAAGATATAAGACAGATGGACTCACATTCTAGCTGTATCTGAAGAAGTGAGCAGTGACTCATGAAAACCCATACCCTGCCACAAATTTTGTTAGTCTTTAAATGTGTTAGACTAAGCAAATTTTGTTAGCCTGGACGCTAACATTTTATTCTTGGCTCAAAAGCTTGGCATCATTTATTCATTTAATGGATAACCTGCTTGGGACTCAGGCCAGGTTACAGGGTTTTTTTCAAATAGCATTCTAAATTTGCAGCTGCTAGGTCACCTCACATCCTAGGTGAATCTAGTAGAACAACTTGTGTTTTAAAAAGGTAATGTTGAGTTTCTCAGTTTACCAAAACTATATTTTCTTTGTAATCTGCATTGAGAGAAATTCTGTCAAACTCTTGTTAGCTGAAGAGACTCCTTTTGGTCATTATCAAGAACAGAGAATTTAAGAATCACTTAAATGTGGTTATCATTTAGTCAAAAAGTGCTTTTCTGGTTTCGGTTTGAACTGCAGATGGATAATATAGAACACAAATTAATCTCTGATTTTGGATCTTTTCGTATTTGACCATAATAAATTATACAAACAATGGACTCTCAAATTAGAAATCTCTGCTGGTTTCTTTCAAAACTAGCTTTTAAGAGAACAAATGCATATCATAAGAACATAATATAAGAGAAGCCAATGTTGGATCAGGCCTATTTTGGATCCAGGCCAACACTCTGTCACACAGTGGCCAAAAATACCAGGTGCCATCAGGAGGTCCAGCTGTGGGGCCGGGACACTAGGAGCCCTCCCACTGTTGCCCCCCCCCAGCACCAAGAATACAGAGCATCACTTGCCCCAGAGTCCCTATCTATACCTTGTGGCTAATAGCCACCGATGGACCTCTGCTCCATATGCTTATCTAATTCCCTCTTGAAGATGTCCATGCTTGTATCTAAAGGCCAGCACATTTTCAAGTTAGACTGACAGTGATGATAGGTTTTTTGCAGATCACAAAGACCCTTAAATTTAACTAAGGTTAAATGGATTTTAAATTGGCATGGATTTATGCTATTTGTCAGTGTGAAAGTTATTGACAATCAACAGAGGGTCTACTTCAGCCAGATTGCCCCTACTTGCATAAACCATTTTGTAAAGGGTCAAAACTGTCAAAGTGCATTCACTATCAGCCCCTGATGTCATTAAAGGACTTGGCTTGACTGTCTTCCCCTATGCCGTTGAGATCAAAAAGCTCCTCCCTCACCCAAGTGGTTTTTGTAAAATCTTATCTAACAGCTGAACAAACATTATATGTAGCATTTTGATATGCTCCATTGGTTTTCAGACTTTCTGTCTTTTGGAAACCCGAACCACACTGACTCATCTGTCAAGAAATCCTTGAGTGTTTGCCTCAGAAGTCCCAGAAATTTCTTCAGAGCATTGTATATGAACAGGAGCACTGATCTTCAGCTAGTGAGTCATGACCCATAATGGGTCATAACAATGGCACTACAACTTACACGTAAAAGAAAGCAGGAAGGGAACATTGTTGGCTACACTGCACATGTATCCTGGTTATCTAGACTACTTTAACTGACTTGGCTTCACCCTACCCTTCCTCACACTACCCTAAAGTTGGAAATTACATTTTGGTAGCAATACTAGGAATTCTCTTGATATCTTCTCCCCCCCCACACACACACACACAAACATGCATTAATTACAGTTCTTGAAGTCCCAAGGATGAAAACCAGCATGTCTGCAGTGGATATCTACCTTAAGAAAAAAGAGGCACTTTTCCAGATGTAATGCTAAATCATGGGTTGGTATTGTGTGAGTGAACACTGCTTATGCATAACCTCCCCCCCCCAACTTGTACTGAGTTTGCCACTATCGGTGGGGTGCAACTATGTTAATAATGGCAAACTGTGGTTGGCGGTGAAGACAGAGTAACTAAATGAGGGGTAGGGGGAAATATGTGAGCACAAGCAAACCATAGTTTTGGCCCCCTAAAGTATCCTAAAATAAAACTTGAAACCACCAATATAATATGACCTTCAGAACAAGAATAGAATATTTCATGTGCCCTGGACACACCACATCATCCAGGTTTTAACATGACATAGACAAGAGAAAGAGGTTATCAGCAAAACTTGGATAGTTGCTTTGAAAATAACTCTAAAAATTAAAACATTTCTGAATTATCACTACAAGATTATGTATTACTTTGTCTAGCAGACAAAAGGTAGTCTGTATAGTGCTTATTCTACCATATAATTTCTAATAGAAAAACGCACATTGTGGACTGTTGGGCAGACTTTTTTTTTTTTTAGAAAGTAGACTGCAAAGGCCTGATTCATTTTAGCTATTAATGTAGGAATGCAAGGTGGTAAATGCAACAATATAATCCAACAGGGGAGACCTTTATCCAAACAAAGTGGTAATTAAAGTCTTAGGGCTCCCACTAGCACTCTACATTGATGTAAAAGATGGAGTAAAAACTGCCAGGACTGATTATAACATTAAGTAAAATTAACAGTGTTTGGATTAACACAGTATTTATCACTGTCAAGTGTGAATGTTTCTATGCTGGGGGCAATTGTAGTGATAAGCACCATGCTGAAACCAGTATACAATGCCTGTGCCAATGTAGCTGGAGTGTGCTTTTGAAACATGTACACTGTTTCCTACTCGTGACTTTGCAGGGATATATCTTGCCATTTTTCTTCTTCCCGCCTTTCATTGCCATACATGTTGTTAAAATGCAGGTGCTCAAACTGAGAGGTATCCCCTCCCCATAGGATAAAGTTCTAGGAAAGGAGAAACTTCCTGCCTCCCCCACAATCTAGTTTAGGCTCAATAACATCTGACAGAAGTCATTGGGAATCCACAGTGGATTTATGAGGGTCACCATCACAACCTGATTTGGGACTAGGCGTGTTCATGTTGATCTGCAGCTGATCTATGTGTGGTTTTAAAAGCGTTGGATATTTCCCATCTTCTGTGGGAGA